CTTAAGATAGAGATCATAATACTCTCCTAGAGTCTTACAACCAAAAGTTTTTCATACTTTTTGGGCATGTTGATAGTTATTTTGTAAAATTTTGCCTTTAAGAGTACTATGAAACTCATGAAAAGGTAGAAGCTCTGTTTCTTTAAACCTATCTTGTGAATCGATATAGTCATAAAGATAAACTCCTTTATGACTTGCTAATGAAATTTGATTTTGAGAATAGTCTTTAAAGTGCCAGCTTGTAATAGGGTGGTTGGTACCCAAATTTTTCGTAAGATTTGCCAACTATTATTCATAAATTGCATGCTATCTATATATTTTAGCTGACCTACCTTCATAGACTTGTATCTCTTAAATGTTTCGGCTATGACTCTGATTTGGTGAGCATTAACAGATTGCCTGACAGATTCACAGACTAAATGAGAGTCATAGCCCCAGAAATTATGAAAGACAACTGGGATAGGAGTTTTCCATGCTTCGATCTGAAGTTTGAGGTTACAGGTATTGTGGACAGGTTCCTGAAACTTACCTGTTATATGACAGTAGTCCCAAACCTTATCATCTAACGCTAATTTTTCTTTACATATCCAACAAGTATCTGTTTCAGCAAATTTTTTCTTGTCTTCTTTGGTGATGATTCAGATATGCTTAATAGCTAAGACTTTATTAATTTCAACCAACTCCTTATCGATTCTTCGGACAAATTCTTGTGTTGCATTTTCTCCCTGATATAGAAAAGGCCCCCATATATCTCCAGTATCAATCCAATGAACTAGATAACAAAAGCTATTGGCTTTTTGCTCAGCAAGTTTTCGCATTTGTCCTCCATATTCTTCGTTGCATTTTTTGTTGTCTGCCTCAAAGTCAGCTATAATTACACATAGAGCATTAATTATCCGGACATGATTTTAAACTTTTCAAAATCATTGACCCCTTTGGTCGGTAATGTAACTTCTTGAGTTGCTTCCCCCAAACCGAAACAGTGCTCTTGATGATGGGCTAGAGATTTTTCTGACTAGAAACTATGAAAGCATCGGTTACATAAATGCTTTTTAACTTTGTTAGCATTATCTTTATAAACCAATCCTTCTGGATTTTTGATCTAAAGAAAGTGGTTTTTTTGCCCATATTTATCGTCCTCAGATTTGGTAATGTCTGTAAGAGCCATGAGATATATAATATGTTGTTTATTATAATTCTTGCTAGCTATTACTGGTTTGGGGGTTGCTGATTCCTCTTTCCATTTCCAGACATTAATAGAGATATCAGGATTCATCTCCTCAATCTTATTAAATATACGAGAGCAGATTGGTGTGGGCATAAGAATTCCATCAAGCTTGACAATATCTAAATAGAGCTTGTATTTTGTGGCTCGGAAGATTCGTTCAAGATGCTCTGTATGTCCATTCTGGTAGGCAAAGTATACACCTAATGCGCCTTGAAGACATTTTTCAGATAATGTATTAGTTTCTGAACCAATTAAACCTTTATTATCTGGATTGATAGTGCATTTTGTATTGGCAAGCTTTTTGTGAGTAGGAATATATGATCCTCCATATGATCGATGATAGGTATAGGCTTAAAAAATACCTTATCAATTCAGATTAGTTGCCAGTTAAATCTACCTTCTAACATTTCCTCAATTTTTTTGTCTATTTCTTGGCCAGAAAGAGTTAAATGATTATCTATATCATCTTTAGAGAGAATTACTCGCATATCTCCTCTGTGATAGGATTCTTTATAAACAGGATAACATTGATTACCACATATTTGCATTTTGGTATACTTGTATGATACGACTAATGCTGATTTGATTTGCTCTTTTTCTTGTAATTCTGTTAAGATGACTTCGGTTGTTTTTTCTCGAGCTGACCCTATAAGCTGTGGCATATACGGCACATCTATATATTCATTTTGTTTTTATACCTTTATTAAATAAATATGCTAAGTTTTTTCTAGAATGGACTATCGCCTCCCATTTGCTTAATAATGAAAGATTTTTATGAGGCCTTGATGGATCAGCTGATTTTTTCTCAAATCAGATATTGCCTTTGGGGGCGTTTTTATCTGCTCTAAAATATTTTTCTTTTATTAAATCTGGCTGAATATCAGATTGTTTTAGTTCTACGTCACCGTCTTTTATTGCTTCTCTATAGGCTTGGGTTGAAGGGCCTGGACCAGCTTCCAGATCTTGGTCAACTTCTTGGTCTTTGACTTGGGGAACTGTAATTTGAGGAATTACTTTTGGTCGACATTTATATTGCCTTTCATTATGCCAATGAAGTTTCCATAATTTGGGAAAGTTTTTGCCACATCTTGTACATGGATGTTCGACCATATTTGTTATATAATACTTATAAAAATCTTTTCTTTAATTATAATACCCAAAGTACTATATAATACTTATAAAATATTTTTGTTTAAATAGAAATTTCGGTATCCTGATATCATTTTTTTGTCCTAATTTTGATACCAAGATCTGAAATTTTAGTAAATATATCTGAAATTTTGGTACCCAGGTTTCATAATTTGGTATCCATATCTGAAATTTTGGTTACGGCATCCCAAATTTTGGTACCTGGGTATCATAATTTTGGTACCCATATTTGAAATTTTTGTATTGGTATCTCAAATTTTGGTACCTGCCAAGGCGGGTACCAAAATTTAACCTTTGCTAGATAATATTAAATCGCTTTTTTAAATTAATTCTAGGATAACATAGAAATAGTATATATTTTAGGCTTGAATGGGCTCGCAGAAAAGCACACTCAAACACTTTAGTCCTCAGTTCTCTCTGCTCGTTTCAAGGGCAAGCAAGATAGCATAATTGTTTTGTTATCTTGTTTGGAATTAAAATCATAGCCAGAACATTAACAAAGACTATGTTTATCTTAATGTTGGAAACCCAAAATTAGGTGTAAGAAAAGTAAATTAACAGGAATTGGCTCTAGTATAATTTAAAGCTTGAATTCAAAATATGATTAAATATATCTAGAAGTGCTTGTAAAGAGGGTAAGGAACCTATTCTGAATACATTTACAGAATTCTGTCCTAGAACCCTTCTTTATGCTCTACTCCATTATACTTCCACCTCCAAATTTTTTGGTCTGATTAACATAATCAGCTTCTAATTTATCTCCTTTTTTTCTCTAGCAATATTTACGAAAATTAGACCCAAAAAGTACGAATTTACTCTCATCAGAGAAAACAACCTTCTTCTAATCATCCGCAGTCCATTTAAGATGCTTTTTGGCAAAATGAAGATATTCTAATCTGGCATTTTTATTTATTGCAGGTTTAATCCTGGCTTTATAGCTACACCTTCTTAATGTATTTCGTATAGTTTCTACTGAAATATGTTTGCCCGTTTCAGCCACATACTTTGAATGGATCTTAACCGCTGTTGAGCCTTTTTCTGCAGACAATATA